AGTGAACGGCGCGCCAAACAGAACCGAATTGATCACCGGGCAGGGCAAGCACCACGTTCTTTGACCATGTACCGGTACTCTGCCTTCTGTTGTGGTGCGATTATTTTACATTTGCGAGGTCGTGCCACTGATCCTCCTGCAGAGGGCACTAATGTGCCACACTTACTAGGTGAGACCTGCTATCTGGTGCGTGCTTCTGTTCCTGTTCTGTGTTTATTGTAAATGTAGCCTACGGCCTCGAGCGAGGAATAAAGTGTACATGCATGCAAGCCGTTGAGTATGGTACAATTATCACGCAAGATAACGCCTTACACCCCGCCAGACCAGATAACAAAAACAATCACTGGCTTTAAGAGAAAGTAGCACATTAAAGGAAAATAGAAGTGAGTCGATTTTTTTTTTCTTTTGGGATCACGGCGTGACTGGCCGGTTAGATGGGCTGCGGGTGGCCGCTTTACTACACAGGTAAATACAGACTTGATTGTTGGGCCTGTTTGGATGGGCTGCTGGGGTTGGGGGCAGCGTCCTTGTGCTGAAAATTACTTGGTTCCAGCCCAGTTGTTTGTGTTTGCCCCATCCGTAATGAGATTTGCTCTCGATTGAATTTGAGGATTTCTCGCAGGGGGTTGGGGGCGTCTAGGCGTCGAACAAAATGGAGCCGCCGGGAGGAGAGGGCTTGAGTGGTAGCCAAGTAGTCTCAGGTTGCAGCACAGCTCACCTAACAACTTTGTTATGGGGGGGGGGGTTAAGAGAATTTATATTGTGTGCAGGAACAAACAAAGGTGTGTGCACAAAGATTCAAAACACAGGAAAACAAAGGTCAGGCATTAGGGAACAGGTTTGACATTCCCCTACAAAACATCTAGACAATCTCCTTACCGCAGCCTCACACCCACTGACACATTTTACACACACCGTGTTGTTTTGCCGCGAGCCACGCCCCTCTCCTCGCCTCACCTGCTCTCCGACGATTCTCATTGGTAGACTTAGTCCTGAGACGGCGACGCCCTCGAAAGGTTCAGTGACCTCCATGTTTACGCTCAGAACTAAACTATTGACACACATGAGCACACCCGTGAACACCCGGGGATTTTGACGTTTTCACGATCGTTGGCATTTTTTCTTTAGTAGGGCTCGAGCATGTGCAAAGTTGCTTTGGTGGTGATGATCTATTTTTTTCCCTCCACAAAACAATAATTATAACTCATAACTTTTTATTACTGTCTTGTGACACCAACGCAACGTCACCATTAAAACGGGTCCAAACAAGTCATTCGTTTGTGCCCCCTGCGTGAGCATTCTTCATAATCCCCCCAGACTGATCGTTGGTGACATTTCATCTTTTGTACTGCGTTCTGCTAACCGACTCGTCTAGACTGTTGCATAATGAATGGAAGTTGATCCGTGTGCTCGACGGATTAAAATCCCGTCCAGAACTCCCAATTTTGGGTACCAAGCCATGGATCAAGCGCAAACAGAATATGGCGCAATCTTGCATTTGAACACGCCGTGAAAACAGCAGCCATTAGCAGCGATCGCTAACGTGACCAATTGCATGTTATATCAGGTTTGAACTTTCTGTGTGTGTCCCAGTGGTCGTGTACCCGTCGTGTCTGGCTTGGATGTACCCGCGTATGTTCTTATTTATACATGCGTGAATTATGTGTCCGTGTGAAGCGATCCACATGATCACGTATCGATCAGGCTGAGTTTTCGGCTGTCTGTGCTGAGGTCAGCAGGCTCTTCCCACAGATCCTACATTGGGTAAACACAGCTGTCTGCAACGGTGTCTGTGTGTGTGTGTGTGTGTGTGTGTGTGTGTGTGTGTGTGTGTGTGTGTGTGTGTGTGTCGGGGCAGGCAATTACAGGATTGGGAGTTTGGGATGGAAGGCGAGGGTATGGAGGTTATTAAGGAGGGGCTTTAAAAGGGGGGTTTTAAGTAACCCCCGCTGGAAAAAAAAAGTTACACTGTGAAGGTAAACACGAGGGTGGAGCTCAGTTTGGGGGTCCGCTATGAGATGAAGGGCAGAATTGCGGAGCGAGCGGCTGCGTGGGTTTAAATGTAGTATCCGTCAATGTTTATGTTGGCGAAGGGAGAAAATGGATGGCAGGTGTGTTTTAGGAACCAAAACATGAAGTGAATTTGCCATAATTAAGTAAAGAAAAAAAAAAGTAGACTTGACAGAAACGCATATGAGAGCAGATGAGGGCCTTGTAGAAGAAAAAATATTTTCCTTGAAGAAGGGAAAAGTCACAATTGTTAGCATTCAACAAAAAAAAAGATAGTCACATGAAGTGAATTGCAGAAGAAAAGTGCTCAAGAACAGACTTCATGTGTTTTTTTTCCAAGCAGCATTAGAAGGTCAAAAAGCATGTTGTGATCCTGTGGCGAATACTTTACGACCTTGATGTCTCAAGAAGAGCACTTTTTGTTTTGGGAACTTCCTGTTCTAAATTCACCCCCCGCCGATGACATCACTTATGACTTATAC